GAAATTTAAATGTGTCTGATGTAAGTGTAGAAGAGAACAATAAAAATCTCTTAAGAAATGTTAGGCAGACATTTCAAGAAATGCTATTAGCTGGGAACACTCAGTCCTAAATGGGATATCTCTATTAAATTCTTCCTATCATAGCTCAGGGAACACTCCAGAAGAGTAGACAAAAAGATTATAAGAGCTACTGAGGATGGAAGACTCCAAGGAAACAAGGCCTTCTAGACTCAACAGGAATGATACCCTTATGAAGTCAGAGAGATTGGCAACATGCACAGGGCCTGCAGAAGTGGACACAAGCCCCCATCCCTAACTCAGAAGCTATCACTAACTGGTAACTTCTTGCAAAGAAAAACTAGCTCTCTCCAAGAGTCTCCCTGGATATACAAGCTCTATGCTTAGCAGTAGATGGTTAACACAAAATGAACTCAATGGTATTTTTGGAGGGTGTTTTGTCTAATAATGCATTTTCTGGGGTATATTTTTAACCTTACAGGTCTTTTGCTTATATAGTGTGGTTTCAGTGTTGTGGTATAATCTTTTTGTAGACTGTAAACATGTGTCTCTACCAAGGAATCTTCTGTTTGGTTTCATAAAGAGCAGAATGGCCAAGAGCTAGGCAGGAAAGGATATGCAGAACTTCTGTGTAGAGATAGGAACTCTGGGAAGAAGAGAGTCAGAATTTGCCAGTGAGACATGGAGAAATAAGACATACAGTATGGAGGAGAGGTAATGAGACATGTGGCAGAACACAGATTAATACAAACAAGTTATTTTAAGTTTTGAGAGCTAGTTGAGGACAAGCGTAAGCTAAGGCTAAACTTTCAGAATTAATGCGAAATTTCCATGTTATTATTTGGGAGCTGGTGGTGCAAAGGAAGTCCGACTACATTTCAGATTTTGTTTATTAATGGGCATTCTCTCTGTGGGAATGTGTGCACCTCTTGTGCTTATTTTGCTTTTCTTTTTGTTTGTTTGTAATGTCCTTTGCTGGTTTGTTTTTATTCTATTATTCTATTTTAGTTTATATCATTTTGTTAATCTTTTAGATATTTCTTTTCTAATGAGAGAGAGATAGAAAAGGTAGAGATTTGGGTTAATGAGAAGGTGGGAGGAGTTGGGGAAGGGGAAACTATAATCAGAATACAGTATATGGAAAAAAATCTATGTTCAATAAAAAGAAATACTATTAAATGGAAAACAGAAATGTGCACCCTAAGCTATCTCTCATGCAAGAAAGCAATGTAAGAAAACATGCTACCTTTCATTTGTGCAAAATAAACATAAGTGATACTAGAGCAAAAATTGAAGGATATGTTATTCCTTCAGTGAAGGATGGGAAAGAAATTGGAAAGGATAACATGGTAAGAAAGAGTGGTGCTTTTTCAAATACACAGTTTTATATTGGATTATCTGAATAATAATATTTCACATACTCAAAATATAAGTACAGTTAGACTTCTATAGTAGCATATGTTGTGGAATAATAGTTTAAGATATGTTACACTTGTTTTTGCTATGGAACATTTGTTTAATGATGCAAAGATGTGTTGCATTCATTTATGATGCATTTGTTTAACTCTGCAAGCTGTGTTACTTTGCCTGTCTAAAGCACCTGATTGGTCTAATAAAGAGCCAAATGGACAATAGCTAGGCAAGAGAAAAGCTAGGCAGGGCTGGCATGCAGAGAGAATAAATAGGAGGAGAGAAGAGGGAGGAGTGAGAAAAAAGGAGAAGAGAGAAGACATGAGGGGCCAGCCACCCAGCCACCCAGCAAGCTATGGAGTAAGAAGCAAAGAAAGGTATACAGAATAGAGAAAGATAAAGCCCAGAGGCAAAAGATAAACAGGATAATTTAAGAAAAGCAGGCAAAAAACAATCCTGTACAATAAAAGATCATCTGGGGGCATCACTATCCCTGACTTCAAGCTCTACTATAGAGCTATAATGATAAAAGTAGCTTGGTATTGGCATAAAAACAGACAGATGAATCAATGGGATCAAATAGAAGACCCTGATACCAACCCACACACCTATGGACACCTAATTTTTG